TTTCAAAGTAAATGGATAATCGTTTTTAATAAATCCTGATATCAATTATTGACCAAAATAATCGAGATTATGATTTTTGCCATAATCGAGCAGCCTTAGGTTGTGATATAGAAACAGCTAGGGAGTAAAGTAGAGATATAATCAGTGTTGAAGCAAAGTGAATTAAAGTGGGGCAGTAAATAATGATAATAATACAAAAAATAGTCCACAGATTTGTGAGGCTGAGCTTGACATAAACACTAACATTTAAGTATAGCTGAGGATAAGAAGACTGTCATGGGTTTTGCAGTTATTTGCCATGAACCAAAGTGTTACAGTAGATACATTATAATTATAACACTAGAGGAGAAGTAAGATTATCACCATAATTATATAGTGTACAGTTCATCTACTGGGGACCATGAACGTGTTTACCAAATGTCTAAGTCCCAAACAAAGCCACAAACATAAACCTCATGTTTTCTGGAGGAGGAGTCAGAGGGTCTCCAAAGGGATTCTCCCTGATTCATCCTCTGGGGACCATGAATATCTTTACATGGATGGCAGAAAAGAATAATAAATATATGAAAGTGTGTTGAAGACATGAAAAAGTGATGCTTGAAATGTGAATTTTGAAAATGGCTTTTTGCCCCAGGTATGACTGGAATCATCCATCAGGTGCATGTCAGCGAGGTGACAAATTGCAAAACCAATTGGGTTGGAGATTGGAGAGAAAATGGAGAAAGAGTAAATACAGAGGAGGAACCAAGAGTTACATAAAGTTTAATCAATCCTGCGTGTCACGTGCAGCGGATGACCTGACAGAGGTGTATTAGCCAATCAACTGGCCAGATTAGAGAGACAGACGTTTGCTTTACAAGCTGCTGCCTCTAATGGCTCCTGCTTGGCCGGGGCTTAGGGGCTATAAATAGTGAGAGGTGGATCAGAGGAAAGGGAAGCCCTCACACACGACCTGAGAGAAGACTACGGAGCAGAAATCAGGGAAAGAAAGAGAAACATGGCATGAGATGTCGTATTTGTATAAAAAGAAGCATTGCAAAATCACAAAAAGACTGACAGAGGAATAAAGATGGAGAATTTGTGTTTAAGAGTGTGTGTGTGTGTGTGTAGGTCATGAAGAGTGTGTCTGGGTCAAAGATGAGCATGAAGAGAGGCCAAATGGCCCCCATGAGAGATCCATGCCCTTGCACGAACACGTTAAACTTCCTTCCTCCCATCAGCAACATCCTTCCTGGGGTCAGACTCAGGTCGAATGAGATACAGCTCCCCCCTCTCTCTGCTCTCACCACCACTCTGAGTCTCCCCACACACACCCCCACCCCCACCCACACACACACACACACACACACACACACACACACACACACACACACACACACACACACACACAAAGTATGGCTGAGTGTAGGATCAGGTGATGCAAAAAACGCCATCAGCATTTCTGTCAGCCGTTACAGAGTCGTAAGGGACTGTACACAAATTATGAGATAGGGTTGTGAATGACTTTAAGAGCGCAACAACATTATATTACAGTATTCCTTTTGCTGGATTCTAATCTTTGAAAATGATTATTCTAGTGAGCACAATGGGTCATAAAGGGTACACTTCCATATGCTATTTATAGATTTAACTTTCTCCATCCCATTAAATGTGTTTTTAATACGATTATAATATTGGCAATATTAGAGTGCTGTGAGCTCCAGTTCTTTTTCCAATGCCTAATACAATTATAATTATGGTGGGATGAGTCTTTCCATTTTAAACGAGTAACAGTATTGTTCTTTGCTTTGGTGCATTGACATCATTTGGTACAATCCTTAAAGCCTTCGTGAGACAGTGTGAGGAATGTGAAAGCCATAAAGAGAGATGAGGGTAAAAAGTCAAGGCCCATTGAGGCAGAATAACTCCTTCTTAACTCACATACTGTAAATCCACACCATTATCCCAACACCCTGCTTTGACAAATCACACACACACACACTCCCACACACACACACAATTCAAACAGGAAGTGCTCACGGCGTGGCGTAGGGATTAAGCTGGATATGTGGAGCAGATCTGCTCAATGCTAGTGATCCCTAAATTCTGAGGGTTTTATCTTAGCAGCGGGCTGATTTGTATTCTCTCCCTCTCCGCGTCTGTAACCTCTTTCACCTTTCCTTTTATTTGTCTGTCTCCCGCTCTCTCAGGAAACTGTGCTTGGATGGATTCTTGAATCACGGCTAAATTGAGTGTGGGAAGAGAAAGAGCCACTGTAGGATTAAAAGAGGGCATGGCAGTAAAATATCTTCATTGTCTTTCTCTAATATTTATCTGCTGTTTCTCAGAGGAGATTAGCTTTAGCACTGTTTAGGAGGATATGCAGAGCGTGGGATATTTGTAGCTAGTCAGACAGAATCATGAAGCCATACAAATAATATCGACTTTTCAACAAAAGGAAGTACAAGACAAGTTTGTGTTGCATATCAAATCAAATCAAGTCAAGTTTTATTTATATAGC